TTGTCAGGTTCTTTTGACTTATAGCAAGGCAATGCATGAAGCACCTCTGAAAAGTTATACCCTTAAGAGCCATGCTTACTTCTTGAAAAGTAGAAGCTCTGACTTCCTTTATTTTACCAATCCTTCTCAATTTAGTTTTCCTTAAGTCTTCATATTCTCTTAGCATTGCTATCTTTTCCAGTCAGTCCTGCCTTCTCATGATACGTCAGTATAAAGTAACTTTAGTTTTGTCATTGTAGATTCTACTTGGAGTTCAGGCATCTTTTGAAATACATTCCATTGAAAGATATCTGAAGTAGGCCAGAATATTTAATTATTTATTCATACTATTTTATTTATAAATAATTTACTTCACTTTTCTCCTTAAAAAGAACCCAAAGCGGCTTACTTCATTTAAAGTCAATATTTAAATGCTAAAAACAGTAAGTATACAAATCTTTTAGAAGGATCGGACAAATTTTACAAATGATTAAAAAAGAAAAACTGGTACCAAAAAAGAGATCCAAAGCAACAAGGCATAGTACCCCATTGTCACACACACCCAGTTCCCCTGTTTGTTTTTCCACACAACCCAGGTTCACTTTCGGTTATGACATCTGTTTCTCAACTGTTTTCTGCTGCCACCAGAGGGTTTATTCCTCACTCTATCAAATATGACTCTTAAATCACAGTTTTTCAATATAACAATGTTTATTTATGTGTTTATTAGTAAATCATGTAAAGTGAATCACGGATTGTCTTATTTTATTCATTCATTAAATTGTACTTTGGTAACATTTATATTTGCTTAGGTAGAATCATTTTAATCAAGCTACAGCGGTGCCTCGCATTGTGACGTTAATTCGTTCCGCAAAAATCGCCGCAGAACGAAAACGTAGCTATGCGATATTAAAAAGCCGATAGAAACGTATTGAAACCCCTTCAATGCGTTCCTATGTGCTGGAAACTCACTGTTCAGCAAGGATCCTCCATAGCGCAGCCATTTTCACTGCCTCTTAAGCGAGGAATCCGTCCCTAAACACAGTGGGCAGCCATGTTTTTTCCCCGGCGGCCATTTTGAAACCACTCATCAGCTGTGTGAAAGTGGTTGCTTTGTGATGCTCAGTTCCCCAAGCAGGGAACCGATAATCGCAAAGCGAAATTCCGTCATAGGGAACATCGCAAAGTGATCGTTTTTGCGATCGCAAAAAATGCATCGCAAAGCTATTTCATCGCTAAATGGAGCGATCGCTATGCGAGTCACCACTGTATTTATTCATTTCTTTTCACTTCTAACTCTTTCCAATCATAACCATAAACCATACAAGATTTGTACTTTCCTTGTCTTATTTTCTATCTCTCTATTACCCTTCTCTAACACAAGACTGGTCCTAATTCTCAAAACTGCTTTTCTCCAACTCATATCCCTAACTCATCCCTAACTGATCTTTAACTCACTTCCATTCCTCTTATATTTCCTTAGTTCCATCCCTTCTGTACAGCCATTGGCTCCTCAATCAGGGTTCCATGATGATGGACAGGAGTGGTTACTGACCTGTCCATTACATACTGTACGTACCCCCTTGTATCATGGGGGTAAACTCTACAGTGGTTTACCCTCATGTACAACGTATGAGAGAATTTAATTTTTCAATATAGAAACCTTCTTTAAACATTGAACAGTTATACATTATATATACATTTACTCTATTACCTCTTTTAACTTTTTTATTTTACTTTTCATTACCTGTACAGTTTCACCATTTTTATTACTTATATCATTACATATTTAACATTTCTTATACTATATAACTTACATTTTAAAATATTTTTCCATTTCTTTTACATTGTTACTACATTCAATTATAACATTTTTATTTTGACCAGTTTGCATTCTATTACATTTACATTTATTTATTACCTGTCATCAATTTTAACACTACATTGCATAATGTTACATTACTACATTGCAAAACATAACCAGAACCTTTGATTACAGTTTCACTTCTAATATTTGTTATTATAATATTTTTTCTCTTCAATCATCTTGTACTGCGTCTCATTGCTTTCCGTTATCCATTGGGTCTTTCATAGTCCACAACCTCACATAAAGTTTCGTTCTTTGCAATGTCCAGTCAATCGACAAGCTTTCCTTCCAGTTGTCAATTAAATGTCTCTCACCTGCTCGGCCTTCCTTGTTGTCCACCTGGTTCAGCAGGGCTCCTGGTTCGAATCCTGCCACAGTGATGATGTTGACGCCACTCTGGAACTCTGGACCTCTCGCAACATGATTTCTCTGGACACGGTGACATCTCTGGACACGACCTCTCTGGCTACGATGACCTCTCTGGATACTACACCAACTTTTCTTTAAAGTAGTCTGCAGCTTTTCCAGGGTCTCTTTACATCTGTTCATCCACTGGATCTTTTTGTCTTTTCTTATAACTTTCATAATTTTTAAATGAGAAGCTATATACCTGGCATTTCTTTCTCAACTCCTGGTTTTAGCTACTTGTGCAGACACAGAATAATCAGCTTTTTCAGTTAGCTGCATCCTTTCTCTAGATGCTATTTCTGCTGACTGCAATTTACTTCCCTCTAAAGTTTTCAGTTTCACAACCTCAGAATATCATGATGTTTCATGATCCCCATGTAAGTTTTCCTCTTTTTCTGGAGTCATTTTTAAACTAGGCTCTGATATTGCTAAAGAATTTTCCTTAGGTAAAATATATTTGTCTATACATATTTTCTCAGGACTTTCAGAGAACAATAGAATGAGATTTTGAAACTCGTTAAACCAATTCTCTGAGCTATTGTTCTCCTTTATCTCTTGGTTAAAACTCCTTTCATTGGGCTTTCTCATATCCTTATAATTTTCTTCTACCCATTTATTAGTAAATCATGTAAATTGAATCATGGATGGTCTTATTTTATTCATTCATTAAATTGTACTTTGGTAACATTTATATTTGCTTAGGCAGAATCATTTTAATCAAGGTATTTATTCATTTCTTTTCACTTCTAACTCTTTCCAATCATAACCATAAACCATACAAGATTTTTACTTTCCTTGTCTTATTATCTATCTCTCTATTACCCTTCTCTGACACAAGACTGGTCCTAACTGCCTAAACTGCTTTTCTCCAACTCATATCTTTAACTCATCCCTAACTGATCTTTAACTGACTTCCATTCTTCTCATATTTCCTTAGCTCTGCCCCTTCTGTACAGCCATTGGCTCCTGAATCAGGGTTCCATGGTGATGGACAGGAGTGGTTACTGCCCTGTCCATCACACCCATTTAAAACTCTCTCAGATGCTAATGGCTAAGGGAAAAACAGCCTGAAGAGAAAGTTCTTTGTCTGCTTATGGACAGACATCAAAGATATCTCTCTCTTGAATTCATAAAGAGGGACAAGAGAGAGAAGGAGGAGGCTGGTGGACGTCCTAACTGCCTTTCCCCAAATCAGGGTTACCTCAGTCTAGTGTCATGATTCCTAAGATCTTCTCTTCCTCTTGAAACCTGGTCTTCTTCTCACTGGAAATCGTTCAAAACAGAAGTATTCATAAGGATCATGCTACATTGTGTCCAAATGATAATGGAAAGAGAACCTGAATCTGAATACACTTTGACTAGTGTATATAATTTAAGAAAAATACACCACGCACTTCAAATTTAATTCTGTAGGTATGAGCTCATAAAAGCAACAATTTTCTACGTATCTCACATAATATGAAAACAATCCAAAACCAGGACCATTATCAAGGCCTCTAGCTTTAATTTATATCTTTTGTCTGTGTAGATTTTCAAAAAAAGAAGTCATTGAAGATGATGTGATTTCTCTCTCACCTGTATCTCATCTTTTTCCCTACTATTTCCTTCTTGTTCAGGTCAGGCCTGAGAATAACAATATAACATTTGGGAAGGAAGATACAACCCAGCAAGCCACCACTGGAAGCCAAGATAGAGAAGACCTCCACAGCTACCATGTATTTCCCTTTAGTACTCAGGTAGGCTGGCAGAAAAGACACCCAAACACTGCAAAACATCAACATGCTGAAAGTGATTAATTGGGCTTCATTAAAAGTATCTGGCAACTTGCGGGCAAAGAAAGCCACTGTGAAACTTATGATGGCTAACAGCCCCATGTACCCCAGGACAAGATAGAACATGAGATCTGAACCTTCATTACATTGAACTAAGATTTTGTCAGTCTCAGAATGCATGTCAAACTCTGGGAAGGGGGGAGAAGTAATCAACCAGGCCACACAGATACCAGCCTGAATAAGAGAAGACACTGTGATAACTGACCCTGCCAGCCGCTTCCCAACCCATCTCCTCATCCCAAGTCCAGGTTTTGTGGCCATGAAGGCTACTATCACAGTGATGGTTTTGGCTAAGACACAAGCAACAGATACACAGAAGACGATGCCAAACACCATTTGTCTCAGAAGGCAGGTGAGTGTTCCAGGCTGTCCAATGAAGAAGAAGGAACAGAGGAAACAGAGGAGGAGAGAGGAGAGGAGGGCACAGGTGATGCTCCAGTTGTTGGCTTTGACCATGGGAGTGTGTCGGTACTGAATGAAAGTCCCCATCACCATGATGGTGGTGATAGAAAGGAAGAGGGCCAAGCAAGTCAGTACTGAGCCCAAGGATTCCTCATAAGAGAGGTAGCTTAGGGCTTTGGGAATACAACTTTCTTGATTCTTGTTTGGATACTGGTCCTCGGGGCACTCCTGGCAATCTTTTGCATCTGAAAGAAAACAACCTGGTTTTAGTTTTGGAGTCACACAACTTTAATCCATTATAGAAAACATTCCTTCAATTGAGTCCTTCATTTGTTTTCTCAGTTGATACTCTCTTCAGACAACCTTATTCTTAACTTTATAAAAATAAGGCAGAAATGTCACCATAGAGGCAATTCAGATTCTTGAGTCCTGCATTTTTTTTAAAGTTAATACTCTCTGGAGACATCCTTTTTTGTCTATTTAACGAAATAAGGCAGGAATGTCACTAGAGAGGCAATAAAACTTCCTGTATTTCTCCAGAGGTGCTTTTGGATTCCTTCACTTACCCATCTGGAGCGAAATCCTCCCGTTAGGGCATGCAACACAATCATAGCAGCACACCTGCTTCCCCAGTTGGACAGACATGCTCTCTCCAGGGTGGCATCTCTCCACACAGGTGGACTTGGGTGGACTCTAATGATTATCAGAAGGAAATTCATGAAGAAGTTAAATGATACTTAGAAGGAAGGTTATTTAGAAGTTAAATGATTTGAGGAACAGGAGTCTCCTAACATTTGAACATGAGGGTCACATCGTATATTTTCCAAATTTTTGAAAGGCAAAAGGAATGTGCTCCTAGTTGCAGCCACACATACACATGCACCCCAGCGAGCACAGACGTCTGCCCACCCATATGGAGGTCCACACGTACACATGCACACACAAGGACAGAGTCCTCGGAAGCCCGTCACCCCTCTCCCATATGAGTTGAAGGCCATGGGGAGAAGGGAACATTCTAGATAAAGTGGAAAGGTAGGCAGGATGTGGCCTGCGGGCTGCAATTTGGAGACCCCAAAATTGCAGTAAGTTAAATATTAAAAGAAAAATTGACCAATATATATTTTAAAATACAATTAAAACATTAAAACATAAAAGAGAGTAAAATTTCTTCTGAAACGGGTTCAGGAATTCAGTTATAATCGTTTAAAGCCTTTTTGAAGAAATGGGTCCTTAGCTTTTTTCGAAAGGATAAAAGGGAAGGGGCCAGCACTTTGAATTGGGCTTGGAAACGGACTGGTAGCCAGTGCGGTTCTTGTAACAGGTGTGTTATCTGCTCCCTGTAGTTGGCCCCAGTCAGTAGTCTGGCTGAAAGGTTTTGCACCAGCTGACCTGTCCAAACTGTCTTCAAAGGCAGCCCCACATAGAGTGTGTTACAGTAATCCAAATGGGATGTAACTAAGGCATGTGTCACTGTAGCCAGATTCAATATCTCAAGGAGCAGGCAGAGCTGGCGTACCAGCTTTAGCTGTGCAAATCCACTCCGTGGACCACCGAGACTGCATGGTAAAGTGTGCATAACGGTCACTCAAAGCCCTTGAAATGGCTGAAAGGGGAAAACTCTCAGACCTTCTCAAAGGCAAAAGTCGAGCAGGGTTAAAAATAACATGGAAAGCCATATGGGACATTTTGTTAGATAAAGAAAACAGTGACTGATTGAGTGTGATGCCAGGTAACATAGATGGGAGTAAGAGTTACCTTGTGAGCTATTTAGCTACAACAGTCAGAAAATGTGATGTTAAAAATCGGATTACTGTCCTGGATCTATCCCTATCCTGCAAAAACTGGAAGAAAATAGAGTCACGGAAACAGGAGAAGTGTACTGAGAAAAAATGGAAAGGGATAGAAATGGGCACATTTTCAGGTGTGCTGAATGTATGTCCAAGACAGAAGGAAACTGAAAGAGGGGATCTATTTTACAATTGGTCTTGGTTTCCTGATAGTGTTGGACTAACTTGGATTTAAAGGAAAACATAAATGTAAGCTGATAGTTAGAGGGTAATCAAACAGTTAAAAAAAGTAGAAAGTTGATTTTTTAAAATTGAAAAATGAATAGATTGGATGATTGTATACCTAATATGAATAGATTGGATGTTTGTATATTCTGTGCTCTCCTATCCTTAAAACCCTTTTCCCATCCCTTCCATTTCCTTTTACCTTTTGTATTCCCTACCCTATCCCTAGGAGTTTAAAAATAAAATATTTTTTTTTGAAAAAGGGCAAAAGTTGAGCAGACTTTAAAAAAATAACATGGAAAGCCATATGGGACATTCTGTTAGATAAAGAAAACATTGGCCTAGGAATGTGTAATTTTGAATTTCAGATCACAATATGTATAGTTTAGGTTTCTGTTTTCTTTATGCTTTCCTACTTGCGTAACAACCTCAATGATAAATATTAGAAACTAAGGAAGAAGTGGTCCTGAGAAGAATTGAGAACAGCGTGTTCTGTTCCCCAACCTGGATCCCCCCTTTCCCAACTTTTTTGTATTTCTGTTAGTTCCTTTTTTTTTTGTTCAGTATGTCTTTATTGTATTTGTAAATTTGGCTTGAGGCCAAATGTAAAGTAATTCCATTCTGCACATTTCTATATGTTGTGTTCTTAGCCTCTCCTGAAAAAATATCAGCAAAACCACGTAGCAGTACCAAAGGTACACTCACAAATGAGATCGATGATGAAGAAAAAGCATATCTACCTCATTAAACTTCTCATTCCACTTGATGGCACTTCCATTCAACACGAATCTCTGGCCCACAGGAGCCGCAGGGTTCACACTTCCAACCCGGATTGTCTGGAAGGATTCGTTGGGGAACCCGACAAAATTGATGATATCATATCCTGCTTCCAAATCTCCTTTCTCATTAAAAAATATTTCTTCCCCAGCACTATTGTTAAACCGAACGTTTCTTAAAAATGAGTGAAGCTAGATTGGAGGAGAAAAATATAACTTTATTAGACTCTAGGAAATGGATTGATACTCTGTGCTTTCAAGTATTTGAAAATCTTCCCTCTAAAGCATATTGGAAGAGGAAAAATAATATCTAGTGGGATAATTCTTAGGCTTCTCAATGAACCAATGCAGTTTTCCCCATTTTTCCTATCAAGTGATGTGTCTCCTGATCCTTGAAACTTTCCTTTGAGGAACATAAAATCATAAGCTGAAATCCTATTATCAGAAGAGAAATGCTATATTAGTTAAAACATTTCTCTTATTTAAAAGGGAATTAATTTACTTGAAGGAAACATGGATTCAAAAAAAATCATTTAAAACAAAATTAAGGAACTTTGGAAAGGTATTCGATGCACTTGTGAAAGACACACTCATCAGGACCTCCTTCTCTGTCACTCTTCCAGAAGAAAAGTGAAACTTCTGTTTTCTGCTGTGATTTTGAAATTTGGGTTACAAACACACTTTGCTCTATTCTGCTTGGTGTTGTTATTGGATTAGTTTAGTTGCCTTTATCTATTTTTTTTGTTTTTCTATTGTTTGTTTTTGATTGAGATTGATTCACTCAAGAGGAGAAATAAGCCCTGATAATGTCCTGTTTCTCACATTGCACAATTTCTTTCATTTCCTAGTTCCGATTACCTGCCATGGCTGAATGTGCTGGAGGCTCCATTTCTCTCCTGGCCCCTTCCGCTGCTGCGTAGCTCTTGTTGAAAAGGCTGCATGGAGCGCATGAGCTATAGCATAAACAGCATTGTAGGTACTGTAGCTCTGGCCAGACATGCCCATTTCAAACACACTTCCAGGAAGGCTCCTCAGCTTCTCCCTCCCACTACAAGTCTTTTGATTTGGAAAAGTGAGGTTATAAAGTGGCAATGAACAGAGAAATGCAGTACACCAAAACTGATGGATGAAATAAATCTGATCCTGATATGGATTCATATTCTCCAGAAAGTTCTCAAAACCTGGCACCACGTTTGTGTGGAGTTTGAAGGACAAGGATCCATGGAAAGATTTTGTGGTCAGTTTTATCCCAGCAGGTAAAGCTGTGAAATCCCACTGAGCCGTGGTCACCCACACCCTCCTTTGAGGCTGCATTTTCCCAAATTCAAAGATGTCTAAAACTAATCGTAACCCCTCCAGAGACTGCCTGTCTCCATACACAAGAATCACGTTAATTTCACTCAGAGAAAGAGTCTGATAGATTGATCGCATCCTCTCCCACCTTACGTTTTCTGGCAAGAACACTGTCATTATTGGGATCATCTCTGTCCAAGCAATGCAAATATGATTCTGTACAAGCCTTGGTCTCAAGGTCTGAAGGAAGGATTCTCCACTGTCATCCTCGGAAATGACAGCACCAATCCAGTTCCATCCAAAGTACTTCAAGAGCTGAATAATCCCATCATACTGAGCATCTTCGTTGGGGACCATCCGGTACAAAGAATGGAACCGACTCTTGTCACGTAAAGCAGGACTGATGGAGCCATAGCTGAGCTAAGAGAAAAAGTATCATAACTCTTACATTAAAAATAAACCCCATTTTTCTGAATGATATACTTGTTCTAATTAAATGTTTACCAGGAAGAACAATGAGGGAATAGAATGTTTGATTCCTGGACTCCAACACCTTGTTGTACTCTACCTTCAGATTATGAATTCTATGGGTGGGAGTAAATGATAGCAAATATGAGAAAGCAATGGAAGCGGGAGACAAATAAGGCCTTTCCATGAGGTTACTGTTTTCTAACCGTGTGGACATACCTGAGGAATATTGTATATACTGAAGATTGTGGCCATCTGCCTGGAGTTTTCTGAAGTGAGCCCACCAATGGCGGCCAGAACCTTCTCCTTTCTGCCACAATTGTAATTGAGGGGATGCCCTCTGCTCATGAAGAGAAGATCCGTAGTGGTCAAGCAGGTTCTCCAGGGATTAAAAGAATTGTCATAAATCTTGTAACCCGATGTGATATTGGATAAAAATTGAGCATTCTCGTTGATCTGGCGGATGGCAAAAACAGAGGCCAGGATGTGCTGATAGTTCTTTGGAATTACACTGCAATGAAATTTCACAAAACCGCTCAATTTTCTGCTTGAAGGAACCATCATGGTGTCATTAACTCTGCCCTGAATTTCAACCTCAGAGCACGTTAGATGTGGTCACCCATATCATGGAAAAAAGTCTTGAATGGATTATTCTCCTTAGTGTAGGACAGATGTAGAATAGTAGACAAAGCAAACTCCTGATTGCTCTCTGTCCAAGCTTACACGTGTGTTTTCGAACCCGTGTTTGCGACAGGCATCACATTCCCTTTCAGGAAAAACATGCAGAAGAATGACTGAAAAATGTCTATCAATAGAATCATCCACAGATAGAACAGTTTTATTTTTTCCTACTGCTGTACATGGTGGATCGGTTGCTCTAAAGATTGTGACGTAGGACCCAATGGGCCACATCCCCTCCTGCAAAAACATCGATGCTCTTCTCTCAATTGGACTGATCTTCCTTGCTCTGTTCGATTTTGTATTCCTCCCAACTTTATAGATTGAGAGCAATTTGAGGGAGATTTCTACGAGGCCCTTCCTGAACACACCCTGCCTTCAGATCTTGCCCCTCAAGGTCATGGAATTATAAAAGACAATTTTCTCTTTCATCTCTGACTATCTTTCCTACTTCTTTCAAGCTTTTGGACAAACTCTCACTACCTTGGTACATGCGCATGTAATCTCGAGATTAGGCCACTTTGAGGTTGATGCAGAAAGTTCAAGTGGTGCAGAATGCAGCGGCCAGACTTCTTGGTGGTGTGAGAAAATATCAGCATATCTCTCCCACTCTGGCCGCTATGCATTGGCTGCCCATTCGATTCCACATTGACTTCAAAGTCTTAATGCTTGCGTATAAAGCCCTAAACGGTTTAGGTACTCGATATCTGGCAGAACGCCTACTCCCACCAAAATCTACCCTTATCACCTGATCGAGTCAGGAGGAGAGGCTG